AGTAAGAAAAAATGAGACGCCAGTCTGGACTCGTTGCTGATGCAAGTCGTAATCTAACTCGATATCGGGTTATTCCTATCATCTACGTAAAGCTCAAAGCTCCGACGACCACACACTTGTTTTACTTCCACAGCAATATCTGCTATTCGGTAGTCCATAAGCTCTTCGTCTAAACACCTTTACGTCCTCCATTTCTCTTCTGGCCATTCATCATCTGAGCATGATAGTGAATCATGATTCGAAGACGACTCCACAGTCATCGAGCAATCATCAATTATCACGGAACACTCCCCCACACGCGATGGCTCACCCACTACCGCGAAACTTCCGGCTTGTCGTTATATTCGTTCCTTACCAGATTCTCGTTGCAATTCAGTAGCGTTTTCACTTCATTTTGTGGCGTTTTCACAGTTCGTAGGCCCTGCTACCTGGCCCCCTCAATTTGAAGAAGCTGTCGACCGCTTTAGGCAAGGCCATGTACGATGGATCCATGACAACAATACGCATTCCATACGCTTGACTGAAGCAATAGGCTTCACGGTTGGGGTACACCAGGGATCAGCCCTGAGTCCTTCCTCATCCCACTTAAACTGGATGCCATCACAAGCGGACTCTTGCATGGATAACAGAAGACATGCTCTACACCGATGGCATCACTCTGATCGCAGCAAGCAGAGAAAAACTTCAGGACAAGCTGCAGAAATGGCAAAAAACGCAACGGATAATGGCTTCGATTGAATGTGAGGAGGACCATATTTCGCTAATTCCAGGAGTGTGCTGGGTCGATCATAGACGGTAGATAAGCCATCGAAAAATTACAGCACTTGCGATACCTGTCCAGTGATCCAGCCACTGGTGATAACGTGGATAAGGCTGTAAAAGCCCGAATAAGCGCGGAATTGAAGAAGTGGAGGGAATCCATTGGTATCCTCTGCGATCTGCGCTGCTCCAGGATCTCAAAGGAAAGGTGTACACAACAGTGGCCCACGATGATCTACGACAGCGAGTGCTGGCCCGTAAATAGAAATCATGACGGACAACTTCACTCCACAGTCGAAATGAGGATGCACAGATGGAACTGCGGTTGGACGCGATTGGACCGAATTAGATACGGAGACGTCAGAGCGTTCATGCGAATACCTCCTGTCCAGCTGAAGATGAGGGAGCAGCGTCTACGATGGTACGGAGAAGACCACAGAATCATTCAATTAGGGAGGCAGTTGAGTTCGAGGCTTAAGGAAAGCGACCACCCCAAAGAAGCCCCAAAGAGATTAGCGTCAGGAACAAAGAGAACTTCAAGTAGCATTGGACAGCGTTCTCAGCTTCCGTTGCGACGACGATACTGCCAAAGAGGAACAGACGTTGCAGCTGCTTCCAGTCCATCCGGAATACTTCAAATAGCATCTTCCATCCATCGAGCGCATTGGTTATCTATTACTTTGGTGACCAAATTGCCCGAACAACTTTATCATCTCGAGAACAGACATGATAAAGAGGGACTTCTAGCATTGTTAGCAGCCTTCCTGCTGTCTATTGTAAGTTGCAAGGGTACTGTTAGCAAAAATCTACCACTCAGTACAAAAAGGTAATTCTCCCTTAGCTGTTAAACTAAATTATTATTGGACATTACCGTAAAACAGCTTACTAGAAAAGCGGATCCATAGCGACTAGGTATTTTGTGAATGGATTATTCGATAAGTAATCGTAATGGCAACGATACACAATGACGACATTATGAAGAAATTTTTGAAGAAATGGAGACGAAAACAATGCAACTCACGACTCAATCGAGGTTCGCGTAATTACTCATGAATTCTTGAAGAACTCAATCGTCCAAAAGCAGAAATTGCAGCTGAGACCGGATTGATGTGGTGTCCCGGACGCTTACGCGAAGCGTCTGAAAGACCAGACACTGGAAAGCTGGCTGTGAGCAAATCGGCAGCATGAATCTCTGTGAAGTCATGAAGTTGGAGCGAGCAGTCTACGTAATGGTTGTCATGCCAAACTCTGAAAGGGACGATTTCGACTGGTCGCAACGACTGGTCGCACTATCGGCCGTCTAAACGGCTCAGATTTCGCCACAGGTTATAATGAATCCCTAGAAAAGTACATAGAAGGTCTGAGCTAGGAATCCCCATCTACTCTCCTTCTCGGTAGTATGAGATTTCGACATTTGGAGTTCGTGGTTTTGCAGATCCAGTAAAAATCGACAACGAATGGCTTACAAGACCTTGTTAGGCGCAATGCCGATCTTAGCCGCTTTTTACAAAGCTAGATTGCATTTATAGTC